TCCTGCTGACACCCTCCCCGGTACCCGCCAAGTGTTTTTAGAAAGGAGGGCAACAAAGATGTCGAGGGGTCTGGAGACCAAGTCCTATGAGGCAAGGTTGAAGGAGCTGGGCATGTTTAGCCTGGAGAGGAGAAGACTCAGAGGGGATAGGATAACCATCTTCAAGTACTGGAAGGGCTGTCCTATAGAGGGTGGTGCAGAGTTGTGTTCTCCTGCCCCAGAAGGTCGGACCAGAACCAGCGGGTTGAAATGAAATCAGAAGAGTTTCTGGCTCAACATTAGGAAGAACGTCCTGACCGTTAGAGCGTTTCCTCAGTGGGACAGGCTTCCTCGGGAGGAGGTGGCGGGCTCTCCTTCTCTGGAGGTTTTGAAGCAGAGGCTCGATGGCCCTCTGACAGCAATGCGGATTTTCTGAACGTAGGCAGATCCCAAGAAGGGAGGGCAGGGAAGTTTGCATCGGTGCTTAGTTCTCATGGCCCTTTCTTCCACGCCCAGGGAAAGGCTGATGGCCACTTCAGGCAACTAAAGTTGACTGATGGTTTTTATGTTCAAGTTGTAACAGTCTATTTGTAATTTTTTCCCTAAAATTTAAGTCCCATCTCTTACACATCCATAACAGTACCGAAGGCACCGATTTGTTCTTTCACGTTGAAGCTATTGCTGTGATCATGGCAGTTAATAATGTGACAATCAGGGTCTTTAGTATTTGTGGAATTGGAATACCTTCCCATAGATTAAGCAGTGTTGGCTCAGGTCGTAAAGGGAGTGGATACCCTGTTATTCATAGAATCAGTTTCAATACCTTGTGCCAGAATTCAGCAATGTAATAACATGACCACCAACAATGATAGTTATGTTCCCTGCTCACCACACGATTTCCAGCATTTTGGATTTTTAGAGGGTGTAATTGTATGGGGGTCAAATACCAATGGGTGACCAGTTTGAATGTTGTTAATCTGGCAGCGCTAGCTTTTAATGCCATAAAGGATGAAGTCCATATAGAGTTCCATGGCCTTGTCCTCCTGAACAAAATCACGATACATATCGTCTTTAAATACCTGTTGCATTTGCAGACAAATATACCCGGCCAGAGGAGAAACTGAGAGGAGGATTTGTGGGAAAGAATTTGGTTTAAGCTTTCTTCTTTTTTTTTGGTCTGTTCCAAAGCAAACAGCTATTACGCACCGGGGGATTCTGGTAGTCGGATTCTCTCTAATGAGCTATTTATTTTTATCATTGTTAAACCACGGTGCCTTTTGGCTTGCTTGGATATCATCCTGCTTCTTTGTTGTTGCTGTTGTTTTGGAGAAAGGTAGATAGGACAGCTGTCATATTTCTCTCCTTCCCGACAGTCATTATATTTTATGCTTCTATCAAGTTCTCGCTTATTCACTGAGAAAAACAGTCCCGATTGTTTGGTTGTTTATTTCTTCCTCGCAAATGTTTATTTGGAGGGGGGGAGTTTTTGCTCACGTTTTACTCGATTTCTGTCCTTTTGCCTTTTTGCATGGATCAGAACTGAACAGAGTAGGGGTGAGACTGGGCCGTTGATTTCTTGGACATCACCATGTCCTCCGTAGTTTCCCCCTACACCGTATCATTTGTGATTATATGTGGCTGTAAGACGGCTGGGCATTTGTGAGAGGGGCCACAGGCCAGTGGCAGAACACCCATTTTGCATCCAGAAGGTCTCAGGTTCAATCCCTGGCATCACCAGTTGAAAGGATCCCCAGTTTAAGTAGTGGGAATGACCTTCCTCTACCAGCAGCCTTGGAGAACCGCTGTCAATCAAGGCAGATGACACTGAACTAGGTAATGGTCCCCAACGTGGTGTAGCTTGGTGTAGCAGTTAGGAGCACGGACTCTAATCTGGGAGAACCGAGTTTGATTCCCCACTCCTCCACATGCAGCTGCTGGGTGACCCTGGGCAAACCACAGTTGTCTCAGAGCTGTTCTCTCAAGAGCAGGTCTTGAAAGAGCTCTCTCGGCCCCACCTACCACATGGGGTGTCTGTTGTGGGGAGGGGAAGGGAAAGGAGTTTGTAAGCCGCTCTGAGACTCCAAGTGAAGGGTGGGGTATAAATCCAATCTCCTCCTCCTCCCCCTCTTCTTCTTCTCCTCCTCCTTCCTGTGCTCACCACTCTCTGTCAGAATTCCACGTGCACCCTCATGCTCAAAAAGGTCGGGGACCCCTGAGTTAGATGGACCCGGTGTCCAACGGCATAAGAAGGTTCCATGTGTTCATACAGATACATTGAAAGGCTGTAAAGGAGTGGCAAAGAACAAAGTGTGCATGAAGAAAGTTCCAGGTTCAGTTCTTGGCATCTCTTGTTCAACAATCTCAGGTAGTGGGTGTTAGGAGACGTTTAATCTGAGGAACTGGTGCCCTTCGGAATAGACAACCACCAGCAGATGGACTAGTGCCATCTAAGGCATCTACATGGGTTATGAAGCCCATACTTGGCATGCAGAAGGTTCTAGGTTCAGTACCCAGTAAAAGGATCTTGAAAAGAAGAAGAAGAGGAGATTGGATTTATACCCCACCCTTCACTACCCAAGGGAGTCTCAGAGCAGCTTACAATCTCCTTTCCCTTTTCTCCCCACAACAGACACCCTGTGAGGTAGGTGGGGCTGAGAGAGCTCTGATAGAAACTGTTCTTTTTTTCAAGAACAGCTGTGCCAGAAATATGGCTTGCCCAAGGTCATCCAGCAGTTGCAAGTGGAGGAGTGGGGAATCAAACCCAGTTCTCCCAGATTAGAGTCCGCCACTCTTAACCACTACACCAAAAGGTATAGATAGGAGCTCTCGGTTTGGGGCGAGTGATGCTCTGTATTCTTAGTGCTTGGGGAGGGGACAACCGTGGGAGGGCTTCTAGTGTCCTGGCCCCACTGATGGATTTCTTGATGGCACCTGGTATTTTTGGCCACTGTGTGACAGAGTGTTGGATTGGATAGGCCATTGGCCTGATCCAACACTGGCTTCTCTGATGTTATGTTCTTATGTTAACCTTTCTCTGTCTGAGACCTTGGAGAGACACCACCATTTGGAATAGACAGAATCGAGCTAGATGGACCCTTGGTCTGACTTTTTATAAGCACGGCCACATTCCTCTCAGTTCGATATTCACTTAACACCACCAAGACTAAAGATATCTGTGTGATATTTTTTTAAAAAAATTGTCTAACTGTCTCAAAGGTGTTACAAGCTATGGAACTGGTCCAAGACGGTAGATGCAGCTACAAGTTTTCATTGGGACAGGGTTTTTTTTGGAAGGACAGTGGCATAGCACCAGGGCTCCTAGCATGTGTTCCAGTATCAGTACCTGGAGCATACAGTCTTCTGTTTAAGGACCCTGAGATCAGTTGCTGGAACCAGAGCAATAGCTGACAATCGACTGCAAAGATAATGGGCAAAAGATACTCCTTTGCTAGGCACAAGTAGAAAGCTGTACCTGGGCTGGCCAATCCTGGGGCGTTTTACTGCCTGTCAGTTGCAAGGGTAGTCTGTTCCTATAGGTTCTTTGCAGAGACAGATAACTTTCCTACTTCTCCCAATCCTCCCTGCTGTGTCCCCCTATCTGTTTGCCTGGGCTGTTGATACTGTCCGGCAGTAGCATGACGTCACTTCCTGTCTCAGCAGTGAGCCGCCATGTGACTTCCTGTTTGCCGCTACCTGGCAAATTTGGCTGTGCCAAGCCAGCAACTTGGGTTCCAGTGGCGCCTTCTTCCCCTATAGGAGTAGCAATTTGATGAGATTACTCAAGACCCTTACTCTTGCCCTTATAATCATGAAACTAAGTTCTATCCTCCAAGATGTAAGCTCTGCTTATATCTGTTTACGCAGCCCATGGAATCTCCCCAGCTTCTCCGTGTGACGGACAGCCCGTAATGTGACAAATATCCCCCGGTTTCCAGTCGTCGTTGATGGAACGTCACTACGCTAAAACATGCAGGCACGCGTGTGTCTATATATTCTGCGTCTTCCTCCTCCTGCCTCGTTCACCGCAGATTTTATTGAAAACTTCCCTCCCCTAAGTGATGATTAGGAAGATATCCAACTGCTCGAACAGCTGGGCATTTTAACCTTTTGTCTTCTGTTCCCCGAGAATCAGCACTTTGCACAGTTGGTGTGCGGTTATGTACCCGGTTCAG